AGGCCAATTTCTAGTTTTGGACTCACATACTCTTGCAGGCTGTTTTGTTCGTTCACAATTGCATCCGTTTCACGCTTCATCTGCAGCTACTTCACATGTCATCCGCAGTCACTTAACTTCACCTTCCGGCACACATTTTGGGATAGCATTGAACTTCCAATCAAAACAGAAGATGCCGAAATGATTAGACCAAGTTAAACTATAAAAATTAGATTGGTTTAAAGTCAGCCACCTTTCTTGCCTCCGTATTTTGGTGAATTATCGTGAACCATGCTTTTCTGCTCTGACAATGTCCATCACATGACGGAGGATAGCTCAGCAAGGATTGATCGGGATCACAGAGCAGTACGCTGAGGACCTATTCGGACAAATCTGCGATCACAGCTCCAAAGCAATCCCCCTACACCTTCCGATGACAACTTACGAATCCTTTTCACTTACCTTTTCAAACGAAATTAAAGTTATTCCAATTGAATTTATTAATGGAGTCTTGGAAATCCAGTAATTATTCAATGCTCCTGATATTTTTAAAAATTCCTTAGGCTCCATTTTAATCTCAAGGATGAAAATTTCTAGTTTAAAACGAAAAAAGCTCCCCGGCCCTCTTTGCCAAGTCAAATAGGCAGGCTACTGCTTACTTATGTCTCAAATTCAAGACTATCATCTTATTCACACTTCCAATTTCCCTAAAAATCTTTTTCATAGCTAGAGCCTATCCGTCATAAACTGTTAGCTAGCTTAGCATGTTTATCTTTGATCCTGAATACCATTGCAATTAAAAACGAGGCTTGATTTTGAAGGAAACTGTATTTAAACCCTGAAATTTCCTACATCTTTTTGCATTCTTATCCCTCCACTAGCGGAATATCAAATATCTGTCTGAGTAAAAAGCAAAGAGCAGTGCCTCTACATTTTTTACTAGAATCCATCATACAGTGATATTGTACACTTAAATAGCTAAACCACATTCCCATTTCCTCAAGTTTCTTTCCAACTCTCACTCATTCACTTTTAAGTGATCTATCAGCAATGCTTTTGACTTATTTAAAGTGGGCGTAACGAGAGGCACTATATATTCCAAAATTGTTGCTATCAGGCAAATACAAGCAAGCTCATAGTGTAATTTTTTTTAATTGTGTTTATTACTAAACTCGGCTTGACAACAATTCGTATAATTATAGCAGGAATATTAGAGGCAACATTTACTGAGTCTGCTTACGATCATTCGTATTCCTATTAACCCTAGCTCGTTATTAATCGCCCTTTACTGTAGAACACGAACTCTGGAAAACCTTAATTGTCTTCATGTATTATAGGCACATAAATTTAATAAAATAGATTCAGGTATCGAAATACTTGATTATTTACTTATGATATCATTCTGTATATATGACCATTCGAGCATATGAATACGCATTTAGTGATTTGCGTAGATACGAAATCAAAAAGTTATTTTTAATTAATTAAAGCAGAAATATCAGTTACGCCTACTTAGCAATAGTAAATCTTGAAAAATAATTAATTCTTCTTGAATCGTTTTGAGCATGTCAATTTCGATTCAATTATTCTTCTAATGGCAAATTACAATAATCGAAACAAAGATAATTCGACAGTATTAGAGATAATTTGTTATTGCATGATGAAAAATAAAATGCATTTATTTTACATACAATAGCATATAAGATAAAAGATATGAA